AACTCTGGGTTCTGCTGCATGGTTTGACTAAAGCCTGAGATACTTCTGGGAACAAGAAAATAGTCATATCCTTGGACTGGATAGCCACAGTGTGAACTCAGAATTCATGAATTCCAATAGGCAATGTGGTTTTAAATGGAAATAAAATGCTGAATGAAAGCAAATCCAACTAAGTACAGTGAAAAGCCTTTATTAAGTATTACTAAGTTGGTGATGGTAAAAGCAGCAGAACACCCACTGTTGTAATAGTTGGATGTTTAGGGAGACCCAGTCTACGAGAAACTGGGAAACATGAGAATTGTCTGCATCTGTTGGATAAAATCATTTGGATTCAATTGGAGATGGACTCCAGCTGTGCAACTGTCCCCATGGAATTTACTAGCACATAATCACTTTTTGTTATCTGGGAAAATATCTGGGGCTGTTTTTCCTGATTAAATGGACAATATCTTAGTCCCTAGGATTTGGATTCTTGACTCTCTTGATTTGTCAAGGCCTCCCAGAAGATGGCATGTGGTTGGGTCCATGTTTCAGCTTTTTCAGGGATTACAAGCAAGAAGCACAAATTGTGAGTATTAACACTACCTTTATTATAAGATTACAGTAACACAACCTTACAAGGATGAAAACCCTTATTTGTTTGTTTGTTTATTTGTCTGTCCAACCCACAGCAGTGTACAAACTTCTTCCCTTCCTTATTTTTATTTTCCAGAAAACTAGGGAGTGTCCCTTCTAAGAATCTCCCTTCTTTCTGTGAGCTGAGGATAATTTTATCATGAAGGTTGTGTCTCTTAACATGCCTCCCAAAGTTACTCTCATTGACCTTTATACCATGTGAATTTTTCCTTGAGGGAACTCAGTGGTTCCACTTTTTTTGAAAGAAATGGTGGTCTGATCTTCCTTCAAGAAGCATGACTGGATTCAAAAGAACTGGACAATTTCTTCCAGTTTCTAACCTTTCCTTTTTGATAAATATTGTTGAGAAGATGGTTTATAACTCCACAGAACCTTGGAGGAAACAGAATTTAAAGGCTTTTCAGTGAGGTTTTATACCAGGTTATAATACTACAGAAATTCCACTTGTTGATGAATTGAGATAGGATGCTACATCCATTTTAGCCCTCATTAAAATGGTTTTTGTGACTATTAATCACTGCACTTTTATAGGCTAGCTTATGGGGCTGGGAAGAGATGGTTTTATGGTAGTTTCCCTTTCTCCATTGGCAGTTCCAGTTGTGAGGGAATGGGGTAGGAAGAAAGGTCAGGTTCTAGACCCCTGCATTGTGGGGTATCTCAGCATTCTATTCTCTTGTTATTACTAGTTAACATGCAGATGAAACTTTGGAATGAGGTCATCTCTTGACACATGAGTACATTAATGATACCCACTTGTATGTTTTTGCTGTCCAGATTACAATTATTTTAGTAAATAAATAATGTCTGACAAAATGCATTATTTTTATTTGCATTTGTTGTTTTTATTTAATGAAAAAGGAAGATATTTTTCATACTTCAACACTTCTTCACTATGGCTTTTTTTTGATTAAATAAATCAAATATCAATTAATGTGTTAAAATTATTCTAAAAATTATTCTTTGGCAAAAGCAAATCATGGTATTATGCTTTTTCCCCAGTATCCTTATTTTCCATTTATGCAATATTACTAAATAGTCTTCCAATTTCTATTTAGTTATTCATAAACTGTTCAACTTAATTTAGTTATGAAAACATCACCCTAAGTTAATTGTTTATATGTGTGCACCATTTTCCCTCTTTGTAAAAAAATAAATTGTAAATTAATAGCTTGTAGCCCAACAATTGACAATTCATATACAGAAACAAACATACCCAATATTGCAATGTCTCATCATTGGTTTCATTTCTAATTTGCATTTCTGCCTGCCCTGGCAAATATATTACTTAATTAAGGGGGGGGAGGTTAACAGAAGAAATTTTAATGACTTCTTTTTATCAATTGTTTCCATATGCATGTAGTTACCTTTCTTACAAATGGAAATGAGACTCAAAATTGCAACAAATGGGGCCAATCCTCTCAATACACGTGTTCTCATTTTGGAGAAAGTACACATGCCTGATCAAATTAACTTTAACCTTTCTGTCCATTGAACAGACATTGTCTAATGGGGGAACAGCTTTTAAACTCATTCTTGTTAAATTTATTTCAAATGCTGAGAACACTCTATCACAATTTTCAGCAAATAAGCTTTGGTAATATTAAACATCTGGTAAGACCTGTTCCCCAAGGGATCAGATGCTGTTGTGTTAGACCCTCGACCTTTGGCAACCAAGTTCAGCCTTTGTGATCTACTTCAATTGTGGCAGGAAAGCTGTTCTGAGGGAAAACACCTGCTTGTGAGACTGACCCTAAGTCAGTGCATGGATGAAAGAAACCATCTGGGTAAAATGGGATAGACCCCAGGGCAGGTGTTTCCTATGGCACCATTCAGAGTAAACTGAAAGATCTGTCTAGGAAAAAGGGACTTCTGGCCAGGGGGTACTTAGGTATTTTCTACAGATTTGTCTGGGCTTTTCATCTTAAGTGAAACATCTGAAGAAGTATGTTTACGAAATGGAAAACCCATTGATTTCAATTGTCCAAAGGTTATAACATTATTCTATGTTGGATCAAAGGCTAACATGGTTTTAAGAACAAGAACAGACAACTGGTGTATGAGAGTTAAATGGCAGACAACTAGCTCCCCTCTGAATACCTTTGCATGCACAGAACTGGGATAGTTAATGGGTTATTTAAGTCAGTGGCTCTCTCTCAGCCCGAGCCATTCATAGGTTTACTGTTGTGAGAAAAATAGGGAGCAAGACTATTGGGTATGTTCACCATTTTGACTTGACCAATTTTAAAAAAGAATTACTACCCACCTGCCTTCAGTTGAGGACGTGTATGCTGCACAAGTCAAAAAGAGGGCTATGAAAATATTTACAGACCCCTCACATCCCAGACATAAACTGTTTCAACTCCTTCCCTCAAAACGATGCTATAGAGCACTGCACACCAGAACAACTAGACACAAGAACAGTTTTTCCCGAAATCTATCACTCTGCTAAACAAATAATTCCCTCAACACTGTTCAACTCTTACAAAGTCTGCACTACTATTACTGTTAATCTTCTCATCACTCCTTATTACCTATCCTCTCCCACTTGTGATTATAGGACTGTAACTTTGTCGCTTTTATCCTTACGATTTATATTGACTGTTTCCTAGTATGATTTGATTGTTGATTGTACCGTATGACTATTAAGTGTTGTATGTTATGATTCTTGATTCTTAACAAATGGATCTTTTCTTTTATGTATACTGAGAGTATTTACACCAAGACAAATTCTTTGTGTGTCCAGTCACACTTGGCCAATAAAGCTATTCTATTCTGTTCTGTTCTGTTCTGTTCTATTCTATTCTATTCTATTCTATTCTATTCTATTCTATTCTATTCTATTCTATAAATTAAAAAGGGGATTTAATATACAATAATAATAGCCAGGACTCCATTTGTGCATCCCTGCTTTCTTTTAATTGTTAATTACCCTAAATTAGATCAAATCAATTCCTTCCAACTCCTCTACAAATAAAAGAAGAAAGAATCAACTTACTGAATGAAGTTGTTTTTATGCACTGTGTGTGCAAATATTAATAATCTATTCTAAGAAAATGGTGCTAAAGTCAGCATTTGCTGCTTAAAAATCCCATTTGTCATTTTTATCAACACTTCAGTTTGAGGACCTGATAATGAAAGGAAAGTATTTAATTTCTCCCTTCATTTATTGAGTATCCTGAAATAATTAACAATGCTAAAAACCTAACCGTGATGTTAAATTTCTCTTTGTGGATTTTTTTCTCTGACTTCTCCTGGATTTTTTTCTTCACGTGTTGCTTTAGGATGCTGTATTGGATCACTGGCCCCCTCAAGGGCTGCCAACACACTTCATTCATTAAAGAGAACACTTTCACTGGCCCCAATAAATCCTTCAATTTCCTACAATCTTGGACTTTTGAATTCTTTCATATTAAACATCCTATTCAAAATCCACTTAAGAGTAGGGAAGAAAGAACAAGAATGGGTAGTTGTTTCTGAAAAATGGGAATTTAACTATGACTTGTCAGAATTAATTTCACCTCTAACTGTTTACAATCTTCTTCTCCAAAATGTTTTCCATCGTTTTGGTTGAGTCAGGATTTAAATGCCCATTCTTCCAGATGGGCTATGCAGAATACATTGTGGAAATGCTATATTAAATGCAGCCATATTCTTGAAGGAAAAGATTTGGAAAGAGATCCAAGGCAACCATTATGGACCTTGTAAAGACCAACACCTGAAACCAAATGCTAAAGTGCATAAGTTTTCCCTGCTCCCCACTCCTCTAAGCTGAATTAAAGTACGGTATAATAATGAGACATTTATCTCTGCTTTCACATTTTAAAAAAGAAAAGATTGTGAACATTTTGCAATCTATTTCCAAGATGATGGAGATGGAAGTGGGAAGAAATCAAGTCCTTTAAGTGACTTCCTGCCTTTCTCCTAGTTGTACACTGGGAACAACTGATACTGAATTGCATTCACCCTCCTGGTACTAAATGCAAGTCTTCACTTCACATCAGGCTGTGGCTATGATTTCTGCCAAGGCTGATAACAATGCCCTATTGTTGATGAGCCTCTGTCAGATCCTCTTAGCAGTGAGAATGTCAAAGTGTCAAATGTTTTTAAGACTGGAAGGTAAGAGACAACCCACACCAATTTCACTTAGAGCCCAGAGGCTTGAATTCACCCCTCCTTCCCATCCACAAAAGGCCTCCCTATACTCAATGACACAGTGTGATCAGAAGCTACAGCCAGTGGAAAAGCAGAGTGGCTTTTTTAAAAAAAATTATATCACTGCTAAGTAAAAGCCTAATACCTTTGCTTGTAGTGTAACAATTACGTCAAATCCACACAACGGGTCTAAAGTTTTTTAGACTCTATTCAGGTTACTGTTGTTAGGAAACTGCTTTAGGGCTCAGAGAACATCCTCACACCACAGCTTGGTTTATGTGCTCCCTGTTTGGTGAAGCATCTTGTTTTTCCCCCTTTCCTTTCCCCTTTTTATAATTGTGGATGGAAGTCAGAGCCAGAAAACTGAGCAACTTGACTCTTAACATTCCTATTGACTATTCTGGCACAGTTCTAATTCTACTTGCAGAGTTCACTGTGGCTCTTATCATGGCAATGGATGAATGGCTTCCAGTCATGAATATTCGCTTTGGTCAACATTCTGCTGGTAAAGTATCTGCGGTATTTAAATACCAAGACAAATAGAGGAAAAGACATAGCCACTGGTTGCTGCATAGAAAGGAGTTATTTGGGAAAATGGAAAAACTAAGTGCTGGTTTAAATATACATGTTGTGATTTTTTTGATTTATTTCCTGATCTTTCTATTTGGATAATGGTACTGTTTTTTGTCCATTTTACGTTGTAAGAAAACAATGTATTTAACACATGAGAGTTGAATGAAAAGTAATGCCTCCATCATTATTAGTCAGAGATAGATGGCAGTAGTAATTCACTAGAAGCTATAAGGTGTCCTTTAATACCTGTTCTTTCATTTCAGTGGATGGAAAATTGCTGTGAAAAAAAGAGTGTGTTAGTATTGTTAATGAAAAGGAAACCTGCAATGGGTACTCATACATGTATTTCAAGCAAAGTATTATAATTGAATTTTTGACCACCATTTGAAATTCACCACTGTACTCAGAGTGTTTATGGGGATGACTGTGTTGATGTGAGCATCCTGCATCACTGAGCCAAAACACGAAAAGATGGTGAACTGGGAGAGCCCATTTCTGTGATTAACAAGGAAATGGATGATTGTGATAGCAACTGATAAAGAAGGTTGGACTGATTAAGAACAAATAGCAGATCAATTGAAGGGAAACTGCTATCAAGCTTGACATTCAACAGGAAAGTGGAGGCCACATTATCAATGTTCTTCAATATTGGAAGATTTGTACAAGATGGGTTCCTTGTATGCTTACGGAAACAATGAAAGAAACAATGAAAGATTCAAGTGTCAGGTGATAAAAGATTTTGGTCAATTATCAAGATCTAAAATTAAGTATAAAAGATCAAAATAACAAAGATAATAAGGAGACTGTCAGGATTCCAGCAGTTACCCTCCATTTAAATCATGAGTCTCGAGCCAAATTTCCAAAACTTAGAAAGGATGTCATGTCCAGCATTGCCTGGGTGTAGTCGACTCTGAGGCACATAATTCATTGTTACCCTTGACCCTGGTTTTCCACACACACCCGGGTGTATTGTCTCCAATTATAGACATTATAGCCAAGAGTCATCAATCATGCTCTCCAGTTAGAATTTTGCACGGCAGAAACTTCAGCCACCTAGTTACTATCTTAAACATTTATGGAATGCAGTTTCAGTTTGCAAGCTGCTGCACTGCTCCCCTCTCCCTTTCTGTTGGCAACTCTAAAAAGACCATAGAAATATTTTATGAGTTGACAGAGACACATGTCAGACAATGGTCCATGTAGTGTGCAGCAACTTACAAACAAATACATGTAATAGATGTTCATTTCCTAAAGCAAGCTTTAGAAGATGAAAATGAATGCTATACTGCAACATTCAAAACTCTGAAAAAACAATTAAACAGAATTGTGAAGTTGGACCTCATCTTCTTACACCATTTGCATAGAATCCAGATTTGGTGCCCTGAATGTGTTGATGTCAGTACCATTTTCCAATCCATTTCCCAAAACTGAAGAAATACATTTACAGTTAGTCCTCAACTTACAACCATTTGTTATGTAACCGTTCAAAGTTAAACAGCACTGAAAAAAGTGACTTATGACCATTTTTCACACTTACGACTATTGTAGCATCCCCATGGTCACATTATCAAAATTCAGATGCTTGGCATTGGTTCATATTTATGAAAGTTGTAGTGTCATGTGATCACCTTTTGTGATCCGCTGACAAAATAAATGAGTAAGCCACTTAACAAATAACATAACAACTACCGTGATTCACTTAACAACTGTGGCAAGAAAGATTGTACAATGGGACAAAACTCATTTAACAATTGTCTTGCTTAACAACAGAAATTTTGGGCTCAGTTGTAGTTGTAAGTTGTGGTTGTAAGCTGTAAGGGATATGCTTCAGTTAAATTAAGAGATGGAACAAACTGTCAGGACATCATCAGAAAGACAGCATTCTTTCAGGATAAAATTGAGCTTGACCGGTGAGTTCTTGAGATTAAAATATGTTATCTTTCTGACTATATACAATCATTTCTTAATGGAGAAGATCTGCTCTTGGAATAAAAATACATGGCCAAGTTCTATGAAAGGAAGATACCTACAATCAAGAACAGCTATAATCAAGTATATGGAGCTTCATATTTCTCAATTGCTATATATCAGGGGTGTCAAACTAAAGATCTGTGGGGTGCTTAGATCTGGCCCAGGAAACAGTGAAGGACTGTTGGGGTCACTGTGGAAACAGTGAAGGACCAGCCCATGATGCCTCTGCCAGAAAATAAAAATGGAGCTCAGAAAGGCCCCATAAAGCCCCACCGAGCTCTGTTTTCACTGGCAGAAGGTTGCAGGAGGCCTTCGCAGCCAAAAATGGAGCTCAGGAGCCCATTTTCACTGACAGAGTGCTCAAGCCACCACAGGCACCCCTGACACGGAGTGACATTTAGCTGGCCATGCCCACCCTGACCACACCCATCCATCCCCAAGGTCAAACACAACCTCGATGCGGCCATCAATGAAATCAAGTTTGACACCCCTGCTATACATGTTATTTATGATTTGTTTTATAATTGTTTTTATTTTGTTTATAAATATCCTCAGCCAGAGTCATGCATTTGAGATAGGTGATCATATAAATTGAATAAATAAATAAATTTATAACACATAAATGAATTGGAGAACTCACATACATTTCCTCCTTCTACCAAGCATCCTTTTTCATCTTTCAGTGTTCAAATGTCTAGTACAGGTGAGAAACAGCTTGGTATTTTTATAAAATTATATTCTGCACTTTTATTTGCCTGAAAGAAAAGGAAAAAAAACCCATAACTGGTTCTCCTTTAAATAATATGTTTTTCTAGTCAAAAACATCAACAAGTTTTATGTGAGCTTGTAACTGTTATCTGGGTGAGTAGAAGTAGTTTGTTTCTCCTCAAGAATGTTTAGCTTCTTGTCCAAACACAAGAGAAATGTGTTTAAGGTCTGGAAATATCTCAGCCTTGGCCTATGTCTTTCCATTAACCTAAGCAATCATTATGTAGCAAGTTACTAAATGGTATAGTTGCATGAACAACACATTTCCAAATACAGTGGTACCTCATTGTTAATTGGTCCCAGGAGGTGCTCGGAGTACCAAAAATGACGAGTACCAAACATTTTTCCCTATGAGGGATAATGTAGTGAGCCACAAGGCAGCTGATACCAATAGGTTCTAGCTTGTGTGTCAGGTATCAAATAAACAATGAGTACCAGGTTGTTGTTGTTGTTTTGCCAAAATACATTAAGCACCAAATTGAGTTTCAAGGCAGTTGAGTACCAAGGTATCACTGTATGTAGTCTGGATATTATTTACAAATACCCAGGGGTGGGATTCAAATTTCTTAACAACTGGTTCTGTGGGCGTGGCCTAATTTGTGGGTGTGGCTTGGTGATCATGTGACTGGGTGGCCGTGGCTTGTATGTAAATATTGTAAATATTTATGTAAATATTGATTTTTTTTAAAAAAAGAGCAACTTTTACACAAAATCAGGCAAAGCAGGCAGGCAGATTGAGTTGCTTGCAGAATCACATAGTCACTCAGAGATCTACCTTTCTGGAATCTGCTGTCTAAGTCAGTGGTGCAATTTGCCGGTTCTCCGAACTGTGCAGAATTGTAACAACCAGTTACATATAGGACTGGTCTGAACAGGTAGAATCCCACCCCTGCAAATACCATTAAATAAACACAATGTCTTATTTATACATTTAAAATTATATCTTACCATTTTGTCCTAATTTGTTATGCAAATAAATTACAAGTAATTTTACCAGCAGTTAGATATTTTTATTTATACTTTGCATTATGCACATTTAATCTAAACAATATAAAATATATAAACACTAAATATATATATTTAAAATTAAGCAGGTTGATACATAAAGTCTCATTTAACTTTGCTGATGCCATATGTTTCTTTCTCATTTTAATCAGACTGTACTTGCATAACAGTTAAGAAAACTGTATTGGAGATGATCTGTTTAAAAAAAAATAGAAAAATTATATCAGTGTCATGTTTTATAGTTCTGTTCAATCACTGCATCTTTCTGTACACTGGAAGTAGCTAAACTGCTTCATTATTGCCCAACTGTGACCAAGTGTGAGGGATTCAGACTTAGAAGCCTTTCATCTGATGAGTTTGCACACATGCAGAGCATCTGAAACAAGAATGTGACTTTTGACCCTTTCTCAACCAGAAATAATTTTTGATTTTATTTTTTTTTAATGACGAATTGCAAATATTCTTGTTTGGCTCTCCAACACAGGATAGAAACATAATGTGAAGATCAGTCTGGAATTACTTGATGGATGGAGAATATGTTTCCCAATTCATTCTGTTTTGAAGTTAATATGGCAATTATTATAACAGGTTGGTAAAGAATGCACATGTTTTAATACATCCATGATGAATTTTATGTGATGGAAGAATTATTCCAATTCATTCATTTCAGGAAAACAATAGAAACAAATGCCTAATTATATTAAATTAAATCCATATTCTGCTATGGATTATGTGAATCCCATTTCACCTTTAATTAGAAATTAATTAGCGTATTTGCACTAACATCCCCAGATGTTAAAATATTTATGAAAAGTGTTAAGACAATACTTTCCTGATTCAGTGAGATGACATTTAATTAAAAACTTTCTATTCCTGTAAAGGAAATTTCAGTATATATCATCTCTAAAATGCACAGTCTTCTTTTGAATCTTAAAAACAAATGCCTTTAAAGTCATATATATATATTTAAATATATATATATTTAAATTTGCAATCATTAGAATCTGAAAATGATTTTTAATAGCTACTACCTACCAGATAATATCTTCTTGAAGAACCTTATAATAAATAAGAGCTGTTATTCACATATGTGGTAGAATTGTGCTCAGCACATATTTCAAGTATAAAACATACAGAGACATGTGGATAGAGGTATAACTATCATCACACATGTTTTATTACAGAAAGCAAATATTTGGTGAAGAAAGAAAGAAAATTGTTACTTCTAAATATGTCAGGAAATGCTTTTACATATAAGAGCTCATTTTCATATGGGTTCATTTTATGCCATCTGTTTAGAGACAGGTCTAGGAGCAGTTGAATTTAACAGAGGTCACTTAGAAGAAAAACACTCATATTCCTATCCAATCACAGCTGAAAAAAGTTCTTTATTTTTAAGCAGCCAAGTATTCAAATTGGGGGATTAGGAGAACCAAGACATAAAAATGTGAGATGCTGGAAGAGATAGATGGCAGAAGTATCAGAAATTCAGTCAAGAAAATTAGTCCAGTCAATTTAATATAAATTGGATTTTTAAAAACTCACTCAGAGGTAAGTGAACACATTTTATTCAAAATAAGTATGTCCATCAGACCATACTAGCAGAGAATTCTCAGGGTTATAGTCCTAATATATTTGTCTATATCTGTCTGACTTGGGCTGCAGAACTCTGGATGATTACTAGATGAGAGCAGAGAAATACAGAAAATATGTTATTGAGTCTGTCCAGATATTTGCAGCCTGTTCTAGAAGGGAATTAGGATCTTATTTTTTGAATATATATATAAAATCAAGGCAACATTATGCATTGCCTTGCACAGCGGATATACTGTGTATATATATATGAGCACAAAAGACTTATAACATAAATAGAAAAAAATAACATAATCTCTTATTTAGGCTTTAAAGCTTCCCAAGAGACCATAAAATTATTTGAATAAAACAAACAAACAAACAAACAAAGCATTTTGGTGACATCTTTCAAAGTCCTGAACAAAA